ATTGCCTTCCACCACAACTCCGTCTCTGCCTCCCGTCTTTCAGATTTGGATACCTTGCTGCCTCGATCTCTGGACTCCTGACCCTACTCTGCCTCCGACCTCGACTTGGCCTCTGCCTCGCATCTTTCGGATTTGGATACCTCGCTGTTTTGACCTCTGGATTCCCGACCTAGCCTGGCTTCACCGACCTCGAACTTTGTCTTTCGTCCCTTGGAAGTCTGACTCGATTCCTGTTAGCACCGCATAGGGTCCGATCACCTATACCACTAGTCCACACTGATTAGTGTGACAGTACCTCTCCCAATGTCTTCAAAACCACTCTTTTTCCAAGTCCATCTGCTTTGTTTCCAGACAGTGTTCAGGTTTCTACCTGACAAACATTCAAACTATTCATTCATCATCAAAAAGATTCTCGTTCCTGTTAAGAGACACAGCAATCTGGACCATCTCCTGAGTGCACAGGGCGCAAGGCTGAACTATATCCTGGACAGGATGCCAGTGCACTGCAGGGCACGCAAACACAATTGAGACATACCAATTATCTAAGCAAGCATGTACCTTTTCTTTTTAAAATGCTTCAAAATTATGGGAGAAACCTCCAAACTCCACGCAGAAGAAGCCTTCATCTGGAATTGATTGCAGGACCCATGAAGCAGCAGGAGTAGCCACCATTCCACCCTTTTAAACTGATTTAGCTAAGAAAGACCCTCGTCTGTATGAATTTGAAATTGAGATTGTGATACACTGGCTGATTTAGTAAGCATTGTTAGAAATATAGGAGGTCAGAAAATAGAAAAAAATACAGGACAATCAATAATTAAAATAATAATCATAACCCCCAAAATTGTAAAGAAGAGGCACTCTAGAGCACTTGAGATATTTGTTCTCTGGCACAGCTGTGGGGAGAAAGTAATAAATCAGAGGCAAACTAGGATAAATATATATTTATAAACATGACACACACTAAATTTCAAACAAATTTACATACAAGGAGTCCCGGAGGTCTACATCCTGACCAACCAAACCTCGACTGCTACCCAGTATTAAAAAATCCTATTTAATGCCTGACAGGCAAACAAGATAAACCTGCACCCTAAACAAAACAGAATACAACCAAAAGATAATCTCTCTTACTATAAATCCAAATGTGCCAAGGGTATGTGACTCTACTGCATTTTCCTACTCTAAAAAATACACCTACTGACCAGGAGAGAACGTTTTTAGCTTGGGGATTCTTTTTAAAGGGAATCAGAGTTTCCCAATTTAACAGATGTCAACCTCTCTTAAACAAGGTTTAAATAATGAATTAGAATCTGATCATTAAGAATGATCTGAACAAGGTTCTCTTGTCTGTTACGCTTCTTCTTCTCTTTCCTTGTGTGTCTCTCTTTGTCTTTCCTAATGTCCATCTCTGCCTCCTGCTTCAGCCTACCTGTTTATCCTGGGTTCCTCACGGATAAGCCGCTGAAAACTTCAGATGCTCATGATCATTGTTTCTAGATCCCGAAACACTCAATAGCAACTTCTGTTGAGGGACTGAGGGTGTCACACCATTACAGATGTCAATAAGATAGGACTATAAATAATTTTAATGTACAAATTTAGAAACTGTAAAGAGGGAAATTTTGTGGAGTACACTTTCTGAAAAATTGTAAAAAGAAATGAACAATGATCCCACATGTGTGTATTTCTACACAGTATCTGCCATACAGTGTGTATGTGCATATGTCCTACACTAGTCATGCAAAGGAAAACCCCGTTATTTATCAATTTCATTCATGCTGGGAATTTTAAAGTCATCATAAAAAGAGGTTGATATGAAAGACTATGAAAGATATGAAAGACTGCTAAATGCGAAGGCTTTTTAAAAATAGAGTCTCAACATTCTGCAAAAGACTTGAGCTCTTCCGCCTTGATTAAGGGCTATGTTCTGGGTGACAAGTGAGGTTCATGCAAGAGATCTTATCTGCACAATTCTGACATCTTCTGTGTTGTTTATATGCAACACTTCGGCTCAGATAGAGAAACACGAGTATAAAGGCGTTTTTCTATTGCAGTATAATAACTGCAAGAGATGGGGCTGCGCACAATGGCTTGATAGGCTGATTCAATTTTTTTGATCAACAAAATGATCCAGCAGTAAATATCCTTGAATTAATTTGGGACATTCACATTAGGATATTGACTTAAGTTTTTTGAAAACAGAGAAATGGATGGAGCACACAATGTTATTGCATTCATGTAACTAATATAACCTTTTGATTTACTAACCCCTTTTTACAGTTTCTATATTTCCAATTTTGGAATAAAAGATTAGAAAACAGTACAAATGAAAAAGGGATCAATGCACTGAACTTGTTACCGTAGGTAGACACCAACCCTTTGAATGCTAGACAGTACAGTGAGAGACCCAGTCCCCTGTGGTAGCTCACCACTGTCAGGGGATTGGTGCTGTGTGACTGTGAGCCATGCCTTGAGTCCCTGTGCATAAGGACTGTCTTGAAGACAGTTTGGATCCAGGATAATGATGGAATCTGGTTGGAGCATGTATAGCCATGGATGTGTGGAATTAAGGGGTTACGATCTTTGGAGCTGTAGCTTATTACAGAGTTGCCTAAATACAAGAGCTAATCAAAGTTGTATTGAAGAGCTTATTTGGGTGATTATCCTTCGCCAATAAAGAGCACTACAGTAAAAATGCCATGTTATGCATATAATATGAATATTATGATTCATATTGTAATCCAACTCCATTATATGTGGTTTGGGATCTTGTATGATAGCTAAGTATGATGTATGCACCTTTCCTTATAAATTAAACAGTATTTGCTAGTGTGACCTCAAGCTCATCCTTGTCCTAAAGATCTCAAGTGCTCTCTTTCCTTTCTTTACTATGCGTCAAGTTGCACTGTACATAGATGACCTGGCCACACTATTTTATTGCATAACCATCTTCCTGAGACTATTACCGGTCTCATAACTATTTTTCAGTGTATTCTGTGGTGTCGTGAACTGAACAAATATCCCACTCAAGTGTTATTTCTCGTATCTCGTCTCTTCAAAGTCTAGCAGAACCAGGGGTGTGAAAAAAAGGGTCTGTCAGAGTTTTGGAGAGTCATTTTACAATTTCAGTATTACTGTACAATTGTTTTTTTCTGTATTCTTAGAATATTCTATTCCTAGAAGATGAGAAACATGAGTCAATGAGAACACCATTATAACTGTGGGCAAGAACCAATAACTGCACTAGGCGATGATGTATTCTGGAATTTGTCGGATTAATCTGGGGTGCATCTGTCCGTCTGTAAATACAGCTTCTATCCATTCTGGTTAATTCCACGTTATTAAAGTTTATTCAATGATATTCTTTCAGAAACTGGAGTGTTTACGTTACTAGCAGCAGTATGAGTAATATAATCTTCTTCATCTATGATCTTCGTTATGTTCTTGCGGTTTTAGCAGTAATTTTAAATTTGGCGCTGCATTTTTCCTATCTTGATGTCTATCTGTTCTAGAAAGTCCCGCACTATACTGCATGTGTCCCCATCACAAAAGACAGGCCAGTCATCAAGTCACACTTCCTACGAGCGCTGGACCTTTGCACTCTTTGCAGCTCAGATTTGAAAGGGCAGGTCATTCTCAAACCCTTTCAGTTGATCATAGTCCTGACGGGGGGTTCCCAGTGTTATCTCTTTTATGGTCTAAAAACGAGATTTCAGAGCTGCTTTTTTATGCCCAGGGACTGTAAGCGATTTGTTAGAAACTTGGTCTCATCAGGGAATACCGTAAGCATTCAACAAGTGCCAGGGATTTCAAAGTCCATTACTGACAGTATCCCGTGAACAGTCCATAACGTGACAATTGCCGAGTTAAAAACTCAAAAGACAAGACTCGAAGCACCAGCTGGCGGATGGCAGTAAACGTTAATTTTACTTCTGGATTAATTATTCTTTTGCATCGAAGTGGGACAAATGTATCGATACAGATTCAAGGTTATAGCGGTTATGGTTAGTATTTAGTATTGGATATTTACTGAAAATATGTTAGCTTGGCCGTGCTTAAACCGCTTCAAGGTCTGTTAAAGTGCTGTGTCGATCCGCTCGCTAATGCAGGCGCTGTGGGGAAGAGGGTTTTTCGGCAACAACCCCATTTACTGCCGTTACTTTACAGTGGGGAGAGCTGGTCATCGAGCAGGAGAATAGTTTAGCAGAGAGAGAATCGCAGGCATCTTATGGACGCACACGAGGAGAAAAAAAAGTGCTTCCCCTGTTTTTGTAGGGGAGGAAGAGCAAAGAGCGAGCTTTGTAAGGGGTGAGGGTGAAGTGGAGAGAGAGGTCATGGGGGCGGTCCAGCGCCAGGGCGTGTGGAAATCTTTAGAAAAAATAGTGATTGATTTCGTCTTACCGAAGTTAAGAGACGAAGTGATCAGTACAAGACGAAAATCGAAAATTACCTGAGTTTAAAACAGACCAGCCGGTCACACACTATAATAATAATAATAATAATAATAATAATAATAATAATAATTGCTTACACTTATATAGCGCTTTTCTGGACACTCCACTCAAAGCGCTTTACAAGCAATGGAGACTCTCTTCCACCTCCACCACCCATGTGCAACCCCACCTGGATGATGCGACGGCAGCCGTAGTGCACCAGAACGCTCCCCCACACATCAGCTATCGGTGGGGAGGAGAGCAGAGTGATGAAGCCAATTCATAGATGGGGATTATTAGGAGGCCATGATTGGTAAAGGCCAATGGGAAATGTGGTCAGGACGCCTGGGTTACACCCCTATACCCCTATATGAGGCTATACTGTCTGAATGTGCACTAGGATGTCTACTGCTTCTCTGTTGGAGAATTGTCCACAAAAGGTTTCATCTCCACATTCGAATTTCAGTGAAAAGCGGAATCCAATCGAAATAACTATGCGCTCTTTCTACATATTTACGGTAGTTTACTTGGGCTGAGTCAGACGTTACGTTCTACGTGCCCGAGTACGTCGTTGCGTGCGCACGAACAACAGCGCGCTGAAATTCAAAGCTGAACTGCAGCGGGACCGTTTGGGAAGGCAGGTTATATACTGGGAAAAGGTGCCTGCATTAAATAAAAACAAAGCATCACACGTTCAACGGAGAAGAAGTTGCCTTGTATCAAATCCTGAAAGAAATTGTTTTCATCTTCGAAAAGCACCGTCGTGCGGATGGACCCCTTCATTGAGGTGAGTGCGGTTGTTTTGGTTTAGTTTTCAGAAAGTCCGTTGAAGAGAGAAAAGTTCAGAGTCTTTTTTGAATTTTATGCAGTTCAAGCGTAATTAAACTAAGTATCCCGCTAAAAGAGTGTCATTCTTAGTACACTAATTTGACACGTTTGGTTATTTTCTAATATATCACGTACTAATAATAACTCTGTTTTCTCATAGGCCTGAAAGCGGCTGTGATTTATTGTTTGAAGCAGCGTAACTGCTTATATGTAGAACTTTTAAACTGAAATAAACAGGACTGCCCGAGCTAAAAAGGCTGAAACAGGGCGGTTGGCACGTTGTTGTGTGCTTCGGCAATTTCGGGCAGTCCTCCATGCCGCCTAGTAGCATTAAGGTTAGCAGCGGGAGATCGGGGTCTGGGGGTCAGATGGTCACTAGTCTGGCGGGGCTCTGATCAGGCTGGCCCTGCAGGAGGCGTGAACACGGATCAGCTGACCCAGCGCCGAGGAGATCCGCCTGCACTGCAGCCCCTGAGCTCTCAGTTCGGGCTTTTATTAACCGGGGCGTTTCAGCGGCGCTCGGATTCGTTAGTGAGAGAGTCGACAGGGGTGAGCGAACCTGTTGAATGTCAAGCATGGTGAAAACCAAGGAAAAACAAAGTAAGCATGCTTTGTTGATGTTGTACCTGCTGACGCAACGGAATCATGTATTCGATTTTTAAATTCCGTCGAACGTGGGTCATATTTCAGCTCTTTTATTTTTACAGTACATGCCTATATGTTATTCAGACTGTTTCAGCTGGTTTCTGTCAGGTAAGGTCATTTACTGAGTGTAAGAATAATTCTGAATCTAGAAAATAGCCTCTTTTGTGCAAAATACCATCGATTGAGCCCAAGATTTGAAGGTGTTTTGACATAAGCGGCAAGGTACATTCAGACGGTAAACCATTAGTACAACTTTTTGTCTTGTGTCTGGATATCTTCAGATTTAATTTGAGCTTTTAAAAAGAAGTTGTCAACCAGAAAGGCTCTTGTAGAATCCCTGACCTGTAACCTGCCTCGTTTACATAGAGCGCACCACTTCTGCACAAATTACTGATGGAAACAATTATAGAACCTTCCCCTATTTACAATTCAGAAGCAAATATCTACTGACTTAAAGTTATGGTGATGTTGTTAGGGCAATATGAACCATAATTATTTATAAAGGCCTGTCATGCGGTGGCTCTGTGGCTCAGGATCTGGGCCTGTGGCTGGAAGGTTGCCAGTTCGTATCCTGGGGCCGGCAGAGGAATCCTACTCCGTTGGGCCCCTGATCAAGGGCCTTAACCCCAACTGCTCCAGGGGCGCCATTAAATGGCTGACCCTGCGCTCTGACCTCAGGCTTCTCTCCCTGTCTGTGTGTCTCATGGAGAGCAAGCTGGGGTATGCGAAAAGACAAATTCCTCATACAAGAAATTGTATACGGCCGATAAAGTGATCTTATCTTATGCTTGCTTCCTCGATCCGTGTTCACTAGCTGCTGTCTCCAGTAATGCTGCTGTTTCCTAACAGAAGGTTGCAGAGCGTACCCGTGCCCGCCAGCTGTCGATACAGAAGCAGATGGCAGAGCGAGCGGGAGAGGAGGAGGGTGGGGTGGCGCGGAGCCCCCTGAAGAGGCTGAGAGACCCTCTGTCAGATGGCGAGCAGAGCAGGAAGTCTGAAGCACCTGGTGAGAAGATCTGCCAGGGCCGTGGCACGGAAACGTCTTGATGTTGCCTCCTCCTGTTGATCCCAGGTTCCCAGGAGACAGCTTTTACATATGATCGTTTAAATGTGAATGATGGTGTTTTCCGTTTCTGTTAATGAACACATCTTTGGACCATTGCCTTTTGATGCGGCACGTCTGATTGAGACACGAGACGTGGCGCTCAGTGTATTACATCGGTGCAGTCTGTTATTGACCATTGACGTTGGCACACGCAAGTTTCCCTTTTGATGCAGCGATAGAGTAGCTGCTACTATTTTATTTGATTTTAGCACATCGCTTTTGCTCCTTGAAGGTCCATGTCTCTCCCCGGTATTTGACCTCTGGGCCCCTGGAACAGGACACCATGCAGCTTCTCAGAGGCTTGGCCTGTTCATCATTAGGGCGTGTTCCACACCTTTGTTTGTTTTCTTCCTCTAACACATGCAGTCTTTTTCAGTCCTTCAATTTCCCCACTTGACCATCTCAGTGCAATTCTTAGCTATTTTTGCAACTACACCATATTTCAGTCCAGATATTGGATGAGCTCCTGCTCTGGACTCTAGAAGAACGTTTAAATAACTTACGTTATTGTCTAATCCTATTTTCAGGCTTTATGTTAATGGTAAACATGCTTGAGAGATGAGGCGAGTCATTATGTTTACCAGTAAGTACAGTATGTGTATAATATTAAGTCAGTATTCCTGCAGAAACTCACAACCTGCTGTCTTCCTAGTATTAAAAGACAAAAAGTGTAGCAAGTCTGTTTGTCATGTCCGTGGGCCCATCAAAATCTTGCAGGTATAGCCCCGTTCCTTTTAACAAGATGGAGCCTAGAGGTCCCTGTGTTTCCATTGCAGAGCCTCAAGAGGTGTTCAAGAGGCGTTGCTATGATGTGAGTGGTGATGAGAATCTGAACCCCATGGAGCAGGCCAGGTCGCCCTTGAAGCCTCTCCACCGGCAAGTGGAAATGGTGGTGAAGCCCGACACCCCCGCAGTCGCTTCCATTAAGTCACGCATGAACACGTTGGCAGCACAGCGGCAGCAGTGGGACACAGAAGGTGACGGTAATGCACTGTACCAATAAGGTTTCAGTACTTCCCACAGTGGTTTGGAGTCCGATCGATTAGGAGGTGATCAAGTCTGTGGGTTATAAAACCTTCGTGTTTTCTTTTTCAAACCTAAACAGCAATTTGCAACATAATATTTAATGTGCAGTGTTATTCTTCAGTGTTTCTAAAACATTTGTGTTGTATTTATTTGAGGACTTTGACAGCTGCAATATTCTCAATGGCGTGTCCGACACTATATCCCCAGCCTTATACACAGTATTGTTCATATTTATTCAAAATTAAGAAAACCTTATCTGAATGTTTTTTAATTTATTGCTAGTTTAATTTAAGATGTACTGTGGATCAGAATTACAGTAGTAATGCATCTCATTTAAAGTTCACATGATAAAATAATGAACTTATCAACACATTTCTTTTGCCACCTAATTGGACTGGGGATAGTCACAAAATTGTTTCACGTGTTTATAGATTTATCATGTATTGGCTTTTCTCCTCAGCCCAGCCTTTTTAAAAAAAGAAGCATGCTAACTTTAAAATATTAAGCAATGATAACTCTCACTTTGTATTGATTTGTGTTTATTTTCTAGTATCAAATTTGGATTGTGTTGTTTTTCAGGTGACAGTGTGGAGAACCCTTCCTCTGTTTTCTCAGAGGAGGCTCCGGTGGGCTTGCCAAGGAGCTGCGTCTCAGGGAGAGACCTCTGTTCCCTCTCAAGCGTCGGCATGTTGGAGGATGAACCCAGCGCTGTCAGTGGGCTGGAGGATCAGAGCGGAGACCAGGCTGCGCTGGAAACGGCTGTCAGAGTGAGTGAGAGACAACCCACTGGGCCTCCACAATAAATCATTCGTAGCTTAAATGTTCAGTGTAAAATCCTGGGTGTCATCTTGAATGTTTTTGTCTTCTGCACAATATTTGAAATTAGGTGATCTCACAGCATTTCTCTCAGAAGGACAGTGGGGAACTGCTGAACACCTCTGGCAGTGACAGAAGTATAAGTTCGGAATTTAGTCTTATTGGTGAGTTTCTGATCACTATTATTGATTCAAAATGCATCACAATTTTTCTTAAATCATGACAGTTTTTCAGCCACAAGGGAGTTTAAGTGATTCCTTGATGAATCCTTAACATGATATATTTTCTATTAATCTTTTTCCACAATCCTGCTTACTCTTGGATTCGTGAGGCTATCGTATTTTGAAATAGAAGTGTCTTGGAGGGGTTATTATCCACTAGATGATAAAATGTTTTTCCTTGGAGTGAATTGATTGTTGGGAAGGATAATAAAGCCCAGTTTGTGGGAAATTTAACAGATTGGTTGAAAATATTTTGCGTCCAAGTACATTCAGTTGGTCGTGTTGCTGTTCTCTTCTTCCTCAGGTGATGTAGAATTTCGCTCTCGAGTGGAGAGATTTGAGGCAAGGACCCCAGCAACTGAGCCCATAGCACCCACCTCTCGGCCCCACTCCCAGTCTTCCATTGCCAGGACCATCCAGGAGAAGCTGCTCAACAGCCAGGGGTCAAGTGTCTCAAAGGCCAACCGCCTCCGCAAGGTCAGGTTCAAATCCAAAGAGCAATCCTCCGCAAGATTTTGACTGGTTACTGAGTGTCCTGGGGATTTATTTAGTCTTTGGGGAGAACTGAATTGAAATTGATGGTGCTATGGTGATTTTGTGCGCAGTGCCATAGGTGTGACTCATGGTAATGATTTTGGCTTTGGCCCAGGAGCGCGAAGAAGAGCTGAGATTGGTGAGGTTGCAGTCCAAGAGTGACAACATCTGGAAGAAGAATGATGCCGAAGCATCGCTTATGGAGGATGCAGTGGTGAGTATGAGTAACCTTCCAGTGCAGTGGTGAGCCAGGGTAGACATTTGCTTTACAATTAAGGCAAGACTGTATTGTGACATTCGATGTCTGGTTGGTACAGGATTGACGTCATGGTCTTTAAGGTCATGGAGGCTCAGAGTTGGTAATGGAAATATGGTACTAAAATCATGGTCATGGTAAATCTGGGAATCATAAGGGGAAGGAGAAGCATGAGAATGGCAGCAGTGAACTGATCGTTTTGGATTCCATTTTTTACCTGTAAATTGTTACATTTTGTATTCTATAAAAAACCAAGCACCACATCTGTATACAGTGTTGCAGTCTGGCTTCTCCTGGGAAGCAGACCGGCAGTTTAATTCAAGCCTGTGAAACCTTTGAGAGCTTTGTTTAGGTTCTAAATGCTTAATGATCCTAGTTTCTTAATGGATTTCAGTCCACTCCAATAATGTGGTTAGGAAGTATGTTTCAGATTCTCACTGCTCCTTATGCATGTTTTCTGTCCTGAATGCTGCAAACCTTAAATTCCACCTATCCCTGGTGTCATGTTTCACTGCTCATCCTGAAGAATTCTTAGAAACCACACTCGTTGATGAACTAAACCAACCAGTCTAAGAAGGCGTGTAGGGATGCTAAGTGCAGCTTGTTGCAGGTGACTCCTGGTTTGACTCGAATAGTAGAACGGAACAAGAGAACCCATTGGCTACCTCTCCGTCCCATAGACGTAAGTTTACCACTGGTGGTGGTAAGGTGTTGAGAACGAGGGGCACGAAAAAGCGCTTGAATGTTTACATATTAAGCCTCAATTCTTTAATTACTTGGTGCTTCATATTCTAAGGCAATCATTTGATTTTTAGAAAACCATCTTTGTTAAACTGTTGAAGACAAACCTGCTTTTTGAACGAAGAATTCATTCGGACAAGAAGTTATTGAAGGTTTTTGTAGTTTTACTTTTAAAACCTACATATAATCATACATTGTTTTTGCTTTTTCACATTCTTTCATATACAGAACTATGAAGGTCTGTAGGAAAGGCAGGGGTTCACTGGAAACTGAAGCTAGTCAATATCCCTTTGTTCATGGTCTCTCACACAGAAGGTTTATGAATATATTCTTCTTTAACAGGATCAAAAACCACAGTAGTGAGCTGATTTGCCAATTTCAGTCTTTGAACTTCTGATGCACACTGCTGCTCTGCTTGTACCACAGTGTTATTAAATCCCTCCAAACAATATCATAAGCCCCAGGCATTTCTAACAGAGTCTGCACATACCTCCTCCATCCTAACTACTACTTTGTGCAAATTTTGCACATAACTTTAACTTAACTTTAAATTAACTTTGAACCACGATTGATAAATTGCTGAATTTACACGTGTTTAAATTAAGTTTCATGCTTTTCTTTATGTACTTTTTTTATTCTTCAAAAATTAATTCACTTTAAAATATGCTACTACTGACATAATGGCACTAATATTAAGTATTAGTGCAGCCAGTATAATAGAAAAAATGTAAACCACATACAGAACATACATTATGTAGAATTTTACAACGGGTCTCTCTGTTGTAATTTGGCCATATGTGGCGTATTACCTGGTGTGCTTGCAACATAGGAATGTTTACCCAGAGAAGGGCTTTTGTCTCTATGCTTCCAAATCCTAACTATTCTGCTGGGCAGTGGGCTGTTTCCATGAGCACTGTGTGTAGCTGTTAATGTGATGTGCTGCAGTATGAGGAGTCGAGGAGGCGCCATGATGAGACTTTGAACAGCGTGAGCAGTGAAGTGCCCTCGGAGGTGCAGGAGGACAGCCTGCTGGAGCTGTCCCCTGAGGTGGACCTCTGCACCAGCGCCGGCAAAGACCTGCAGCCACGAGATGAGGGTGAGATGTCAACCTAAATGAAGATATAGTAATTAATTGTGCCTTTGCTTGGCTCTTAGCTGCTTTTATCTCCATTTAGCCAGTTTAAATGTATTTGCCCATAGTGGAGATCGGGGTACGAGAACTTGAATAGACTGTGTAGGTCGCCTGAAAAGCAATGCATGGAACATAAAACTGGAAAGACAGACCTCCTGTCTTTTTCCTTTTTTTGGACACTTTCTAATTGGATTTCAAACTTTTTTTAGGCTCTTTCATTACAGCTTAGAAGTAATTTATCATGCAAAGTGTAAAAGACTGCAGATGTAAACTACTTTTAAATAAGTTGTCCCTTTGAACACCAAGAAGCCTATATCATTGTATGCCAATTGGATTTTGTTGCACTCAGGGTGACTAGACTAATGCAAAACATAGCTCCCTCTGGCATCTAGTGGTTGACAGTGGTCATGGTTTTCAAGTTTTCTTTTTTTATTGCCTATTTCCTGGTGGGTAAGCTGTTGCTCGTGAATGTAGTTGCAGTTCATTGAAACAGTTAAGCTTTGGGAAACACTTTTTGCCTTTAGGGGAAAAAATCAATATCAGATATTTGTTATATTAGAACATCTGCTTAGCTGGAGGTACTGTTAGCCTGTACCCACAAATCTTTTTTTTTTAGTGACTGTATCAGTCAATTGAGTCATGCAGTTTTCTGGTTGGTTTCCCCTAGTATATACAACATTTTCTCATCCTCCTACATATGTTGTTTTTGGTATCTAAAAGGTTAAAATACTTAGTGTTGCTAACTTTTCAAAGTCTCAATTATAAGCTTCTAAATCTGTAACTTTCCTGTGTTCTGAATTTGCATTTTAACATGAGCATATTGCTTAAGATCCCACTGTAGAAAACCCAGAGGAGGGTGAGGCCATTCAGCGTGAGTCTCGGAGCATGAAGAAAGTGACCTTTGTCCTGGATCCCGAGATGATCGGTGATCGCTCTCACTCAGAGGCTGATTCCCAGGACAGCGAGAGGAAGGAAAGTGACACTGGTGAGCCTGCTAATTGAATAATTTCAGATTCACAGAAATATGCAGCATTACTATCTCTTGACCCAAGCTTTTCAAATCTCCCAAGGTAAACAAGGGTGGGCTTGCTCACTACCTAGAAATTTAAGACTCCAACAATAACTGCTGCTTTGTGTGATATTGGTAGACTAGTCGGATGGAGCACTTTCCCATCCTACTAGTCCAATTTCCCCCTACTGGACAAACATTTCTTGGTCATTAAAAATCCCATGGCACAGTTGTTACTCCAATGTCAACCTTGGTCAGTGTATCCTTTCCAAAGTTCTCCCTCAATTCTAATTGGTGAGCTAATTGCTCTTCTGCTATGTATGGCGAGATGATACGCCAGCAGCCATATCACTGCAACTGGCAACCCACTGAAGCTACATTGAGTTTCAAATTACAGTGGCAGTGATCCAGTTCACTAGAACAGCTTTATGTAAACCATTGGATTGTACCTTTCCTTGTCCTGCTACCTTATTAGTCTCGGATGCAGACCTGACCTCCCAGGAGGAAGAGCTGAATAGCTCAGAGATGATTGATCAAATATTTGAGGGGGTGCTGGATACTACCGAGGACGAGGTGGAACCAGACTGCGATGATAACGGCATGAGTAGTCGGGAAGAAACGGAGGAGCAGAGTGGGCAGCAAGTGACACAAGAGGGGAATGTGACAACGGAGAACTCCAATAACGAACAGGCAGATGATGAAAAGGAGAAGGCTGAGGTGGACAAGCATGGTGATAACAATGTAGATGAAGAGCTGACCTTTCCTCCTGGCTCCATTCTCTCTCCTTTAACAAAGTCTGTTGAGGCTGTAGTTACGCCACTGGTAAGATTGTGATGGTATTTGTCTTGTTCCATTCTGTTTTAAAGATCATGGTCATTTAAGCATTAATAGGTTAAAGTTCTATCTGGTCATGTTTTTTACTTGATAGATTCTGACATTATTTGAATTGATTGGCACAAAATTAAATGAGAAAACATTGCTTCCTATGAGAAATATTCATCCTTCTCAAAGAATGTGCTGTAGATAATGCTTTGCAGTAATTTTAATGCAAACTATTTTCAAGAACTCTTCCTTGTTACCTGTCACTGCTGCTTATTTTTGACAGCTCAGTCCTATTTCCCTCCTAGTATTTATGGTGGTTGGTTTTTCAGTCTCCTCTCAAATTTCCTAATGTTTCAGTATAGAAAAGTGAGATAGGAAATTAGTTTTAAATATATTGTTTACCACAGACAAAGTGTGTTTTTAGGGCCATTACCATACTGAACACAGCCACAAGAAGTCTTTCTGGTAATATTTTGCAGATCTGTTATTCTTGTCTTTAATTTGATTAAAAGTTTTTCTAATTACAATCCAAAAGTGATGTGTATGAGGCAGACTGAGGAGTGGAAATTGTCTACTTTGCTACCACCAAATTCTCCTTACAGCATGTAATGTTAATCAAGTGAGTAATTAATAGGAATGTGGATCTAATTTTTTTATATCTACATTAACTCACTGGGCTTTGCTCTGTGGCTCAAAAAGTGCATAGGCCCAGCACATTTTTCTGTTGGCTCCCTAATGACATGATTGTCTGTTCTTAGCACTTTGTTGGTAACCAACTTACACTGGGAGCTATGTCAGGCCTCTACCTATAATAGTAATATCTGAGATGCAGGGCTTATCTCACTTGAGTATTCTATAGCAGTGAGACTTTATGATTGACTCTACACTTAAAAAATGATAGGTTTTGACTGGACTAACAGACTGAGCTGTTTCATGTCACATGTTTCTCCATTCATCAGAGATTGATGTCTGGTGATGCACCTGGACCCATTCCCTTCCACCTGACACCCAGTGATCTGACGGAGACCCCTCCTCTCTACAGGTAAGGACTTGCTGCTGGAAAGTCTCTGCAAAGATAAAAACGTTGCTGAGAATGTATTTGGATCGGAGGCTTTGAAATAATATACATTTGTATGTCTGAAGCTTAGGCTTGTTATAACCAGGGTTGATACCTTTGCAAATTATGAATGAGAATCGGTGACTTCTTTGATGCATAGCTTAAATGATCACACTTTTCATAATTAAGGTAAGTGCTTTAATAGTACTTGATGGTGCATGCACTGTTGTACTGTGTTAACCGAATCTTCACGCATCTTCTATTATCGCAAGCGGTTGTATTCAGATCATCAGTCTTTTGAAATGTGTTCAGATTTGAACATTGTCTGATTCAAATATCCCTTGTGCATGATTAAAAATGATGCTGTCTTGATGTATGTTATTTCATTGTGTAAATTTTATAGTACAGCTGTAAAACCCTGTTTTTTTGTAATGGTCTTCACATTTGGTTATTTCTTGCTTGTAGTGAAATTTCAGTTTTTATCTGCACATGATAATCAGAAGATGGGAACAGTGAAAGTTGATTATATACTATTCCATTTTTTTTAAAGCATTGATGCTTATCGGAGCCTGCGGCAAAGTACTCTACGCTCCTACAACAGTGTGACTCCTACAACCAACAGGAAGGCCACAGAGCAGACTCGGACTGCTCAGCCTCACAGTGTCAAGGAGAAGATCAAGGTGAGCGAAGAGCCTCTAGCTGTGCTCTCCTGGGTCTTACTCACATTTTTACATCTTAAAATCGATCACATTTGTAGGCCATCAAAACAATCATTGCGTTTTACTTGTTCAGTCAAACTATGTAGGACATTTTTCCTTAAACGTTTTTTTTCATTTGGGTTGGATTGGCTTTTTCCAGCAATACGTGATTAAAATGAAGCCATGAATTTCCACGTAATTCATCTACACCAACCACAATCTACATTTCTTATTCCTTCATGGTATTATTTCCTAAAATGGTAGACCCTGAGTTTAACTGTACAGTTGTAAAGTATAATGTGCTTCAAAGCAATGCCCATGAATCGTTGCCATTTTTCTGCACTTTGTCTGAGCTTCTTATTCTATAATTGAATGCCATGACAGTGCTGTTTGCTGTTTCGGCAAATTCAAATTGGCATTTCGTTTTAATTAAAGCAATTTTGCCATTCAGTAAATTATATTTATTAAAAGCTCTATTAAAGCCATATATGTAAAGCAAGAACCTTTACCTTAAACATAGTTTTGTAGAATTAACTTTAGAACTAAATATTGTACTCCGTGATATATACACACACTTACATAAATGCATGAAAAGCATCCATAATTCTGTGATGGAATTCTTTTATTGGTAGACATGATTTGTGAATGAAAAGTTTGACACTGTTCAAAGGTAGAAGAGTGTACAATTCTTACTATTGCTGCCGATACCGTCTGTGGCATCATGATTGTTTTGTTGCTGGTTGTAGATTCTGAATGAAGAGATTAGCAAACTTCAGACCATCATCTATCAGACTACCCAAGCGCTGAACTGCTGCACTGATGAGGAGCACGGGAAGGGCTCGCTGGAGGAGGCCGAGGCCGAGAAGCTGCTGCTTGTGTCCAGTGAGTCCCCTTGCATGTCCTGCTACCCCTGCTGGTACTGGAGGTGTACATGTGAGGCTGTTGTAAACACTATAGGAATAACAACATGCAACGCCTGGTGTTTATTTGCTTTGCCAACTTTGTAAACACATTTCCCAGTTTTGTGTGACTTTAAAAATGTACATTAGATTAACATAAGAGGATAGTAAGGGTTCAAATGTGATTGCAATGTGGCCTCTAAATAATCTTTGGAGAATTTAGGCTTAAAATTCAAGTTTCTATAGCACTGTCCCCACTTAATAGGAGTACATTACAAAAATTTCATCGAATATGTTTTAATGTAACAAAACTTTTATTACACTTTTTGAATTTTCATCATTACTTAGATCATGTAAGCCAGGCTTAGTTTCAAATCTTGTTTCTTTAAAGTAAACAATTTATGATGAGGGATTTTAGAATTTGTTGAGCAAATTGTTCATATGTTGCTTGGAAAACAACATTGTACATCACTTTTTTAAAGATAAGAAAATCCAAGATTTGCAAAACCAAACAAGTTGGTTGAGTGTAATATTGGGATGGCTTACTATGTTTTGGTCTTTGCTTTATAGGGAAAAAACAGACTTTAGTCTAAAGCAAGAACAAATGTTCTGAATGTTGACAACTGAGAGCTCTGTGTATGTTTGTATCCACCAGTGGAAAAGCGCCTCTCTCTGCTGTCTGAGTTGAGCCGTTTGAAAGAGCCAGGAGCCAGCGCTGGGTCCGCAGAGAGGGGCTTGGAGACGTCTCCCCAGGAGCCATGCAGAGGCACCCTGAGCATCTCTGATGTGCGCCTGCCGCTGAAAGTGGAGTTTGCCTGCTCCGCACGTACCAGGGCAGGTGAGCTTGTGGTGATTTTGTTTTGGTTGAAAATCAAAATTTGTGACCACCAAATAAACAGGTCTGACAGCTATGAAATGCTTATCTGATAATGCCAATTGCTGCATTGGTTTAAAGCACAGCCTTTTATCTGTAAGCTATTTTTTTCAGCTATAGAAATATCATTGGCAAAGCAAAACACAGTTTTGAAGCTGTTTGCGACTTGAGTATAAAATTAAAACTAATAAGAAATTCTGACGTTTAGGCTAAGTTTTACACTTGAAAAAAAATACAATTCTTATCCAGATGCCAGTATTTTGTGTGAAAAGGACTCTAGGATTTTGTTGCATTGTGAAAATTTTAGATGACAGCCTTCAGTTTCTTTCCGCTACTTTTGGCATGCCATCTCACTATTTATGCTGTAAGAATTTTAATTGTTACTTTACTATTTCCTGCTTCACAGGGCGACCGAGCCATTATTTCTTTGTGCTGATCCGTTATGGGTCCAGTAACATAGTAGCTACCCCCCTTGCCACAGCAGCAGATGCCAAGAATGGGGACACCATTGCTTTCCCCACCTCCATCACCCTGTGAGTACATTCACTGCCCTTCACGCACACCTCTAAACAAAAGAGGATGATACCTGGGTCATGTAGCCAATTTCATACATGGTAGCAAAATGACTCAAAGATTTTATCCGGCCACTTCACAAGAGAAGCCAAGGTATTGGCTTCAATAACATAGTTGGGCAGATTGTTCCTTATTCGCACAACCACTTTATCGTCACTTGTTTCCTCTGGTCTGTTCCTCCTGTAGAAGTCCGCCCCAGTGACTGTCTATGCCTTGCAGTTCCTCACCACCCTTCAGCCACGGCCATTCCTACACTGCCACTGTGTCTCATTTCCCCCTTCTTTTATATTTGATCCTTAAAAGCACCTGAATCTGATTTCTTGTTTTCGAACAGTTTTCTGTTACAAAGACAAATTTGTTTTGTGCTCTTTATTATAGACAGGATATTCGCCCCAACTTTGAAATTGATGTGGAGGTTTATAGTTTGGTAAGTAAAGAACATGTAAAACTAGAAACATGGCTTATAAATGTCATTTCTTTTATGTAAATAATTTCTCAGGTTCCTTCAGTTTAGAACCTGTTACTTCAACTTCGATGTTTTACTATCTCTCTTTCTTTGAAGGCCCTTTTATTATTCGCTTGTGAAAAACCATGTTGGAATAAACTGAAAAATTAGAACTTTCCATTCAATAGTAGTGTGCTGCTTATGAATTATGATTTAGTGAAGAATAGAAGGATGGGGAAAAAAATAATTTGCTGTGAATTTTGTCTTCCAGTCTCACACAACAAATGCATGTAATTCTGAAAGGAGACCTTCAAAATCTAAGGTAAGATAATTCAGTTATATGCCAGTAGAGGTAAATGATTGCAATTGTTGCCAGATTTTGGAGGATTCAGCTCATCTTAGTTCAACACCTGAAACTGGAATAAAATCTTCTATCCTAAGTAAAGACATTAGTATTGCCCTTGTTTTTATTCTGTATGAGAATTTCAAAGAAGTCTGAAGAACTTTTCATATTAAAAAAAGAATGGATATTTGAGGATTTTGTAGAGGTGGATTGGCTTTTTTTGCTTTAAGGCATACTGGGATAAATGTGGGCTATGCCTTTTTCATTGACTTCTTTAATGCAAGTAGTAAAGGACTGGAGTTGAGCCCCACATCCACACTTCCAGTGACAGAATGCAGACTGTTGTCTTCATCTTTCTCTCTTTAAAGCATGGGACTTACTGAAGACAGGTTTTCTGATCTGCCAGTCATACCATTGTTTATTCAGGGAAAATATTGTAAACTATTACCTTGGTCCTTAGTGCTGTGTAGTAGTTGAAGAGCTGGGATGTTCCCTACATTATACAGCTGTCAGATGGCAAAGCTTAGTAAGGTTGAAATAAGATGGGAAGAGTTACAATGGCCTGTGTTTCTACTGGATATAAAAATATTACAGATACAAAGGGTGGTTCTTTCATAATCTAGATTTCTTCTCTCTCCTCAGGTCACGCCTAAAAAGCTGCTTACCAACATCACTGTAAGTTCATTTTTTAATTCCACTCTTTTTACAAAATGCAATTTAATCTCTGCCCTTCTAACCACCCTAGTGTTGAAATATTAGTATACTGTATAGATGCTCATCTTATTTCTCTTTTCTTATTAACACTGTTATGTTGATGGTAAAAAAACATGTTGAAAATATGTATTTTTTTCATTTCAGAAATCAAATCATAACCAATCATGTAAGTTCAGATTTTTATGACTACAATGCCACAGGCCTTAGTTCATATAGGCTTTTGATCCTTTAGAAAACTTTCAAACCTGTGCTTATAAACTAACTGTTGAACCTCTATTATTTTGATGTATAATAACCATAAATCTTACAATTGTCAAATTACTGATTGCATTAAAATGTAGACAGTTTGTGATGTGTTAGGGCAGAAATGATATAGAAAGCAATTATATAGAAAGTATTGAATTTTCTGAATAATGCCTTCTTGCACTTTTTATAGAGCAATATAAAATGTAAGTTAATATTACACCAAAACTAGTTCTCTGAATACAACAGCAGTAAAGAAATCAGCGGAATATTACAGTATAGGTGCAGAAAACATTTGGTATTCATTCTGAAGAATTATTTTTTTCCACTCAGCTGCAGTTCTTCCAGCTTTGGGAAGCTCTGTTCGGGCCAGCAACTTTTCTCTGGTGGGATCTCATAAGATCACGCTAACTTCCCTTGGACAAAATAAGTTCCCTTTGGATAAGGTGAGAGGATCTACCTAAACCTGACATCTGTGCTCCACAGTGGCATTCAATATATTATACTGTCAATAAACCATAGCTTCGGGAGCTTATGTCTAAAATCTGGAAAGTTTTGAAGCCAGACAGACGCACCACTGCCTGATATGTTTTTCACATTAAATAGAGAATTATTCTGGATGTCTTTGAGCATTGCTTATGCTAATGACACACTAGGTATTGATCTCCTATGAAGGGGTAACCACCTTGAATGCACCCTGTGACCCATACCATGGTGACTTTCAAACCTTTTCAGAAATGTTTGCAAATAAGGAAGTGTCTGTCAGACCTTGTAGAATAAATCCAGTTTTATTCCATCTGTTTAAGCCGACATTTTGAAACTTTCAATTTTAAAGCTTAAAACCATCACTGGTTGAGAGGGTCAGATTTATCCAATAACTAAGTTTGAAAAATTGTATTTAATTGTATTTCATCATATGTGTAAAATACCTACTTAGGGTTTGACAATGTGGATCAAATTTTGTAACTAACTGGGTTTTTTTGCAGGTCACTACACCTTCAAAAGCTTTCCTGTTTCATTGATGTCCGATAATAAACTGATAATTTCAAGAAAAAACAAGAGTGGGCAAAGAATGCAGAGTTAATATCAGGAAATCTGCAACCTTAGATGCAGTTAAAGTATTCCTTTGACCATTTGTGTTCTGGTTGTTCTTTAATTCAAAAGGTGTCAGTTTTCCCCATATGCAATCTTTTGTGTGTGTACAGGTTTGCTGGTGTATTTGTTCAATCTGTGATTTGTCGTCCATTTTGTTTGATGTTGTAGAACCACACACTGTATTGCAGTTTCACTTGCTTGGGTGGAGACAGCCTTGGGGTTTACTGCATCTACTGACCTTCCTTAGGGTTCACGAAAGGCCTCAGTTTTTTTCACGGCTGAAAGTTTCTGGTGACGTAACCTTCCCTTGTGTTCTTTCTCTCTTCTCAATATAGATCAAATTTGATGGAAAAGTCAGGAAGCTACTGGGCGATGAATTTCAGGAGAAGGTTACAGTGGTTTTCTCACATTACACACTGACTGTTGGCTTACGCTGGATAATCTGGTGTGGTTTATTACCAAGTGTGGTCAGGAACTACAGCGGATGACTTGTAGTGTATAAGCCACAACTTCAGACTATCCTTTTTCTTCTGCATGCTGCTTGATTTTTTTTAATTTGGCTTAATACTGAAGTATCTTGCTTCTATTTCATTTTGAATTGTTGCTACGTGTGTCTTTATAGCAAATTTCTTACATGGGGAGGAAAGGGTAGAATTGTGAACTACTGTGTTTTTTGAGACAGAAAAAAATATCTTTTGAAATCCATGCTATCTTGTGTCTGTCAACAAAAACATATTTTGGGGAACATTTCGTTTCGTTTTTGTCTTGTGTATAACCTCTTTCCATGGCTTGTACATGAATGGTTTCTTGTTTTTGCTGTTTTTTTGGCAGCTGTAGCAATATCCTCTAGATCCTCTAATATTAACATCTGCTGATTTTCTGCTAACTGCATGTTTGTGGTGTTGATTAAAAAAGACCACACATAATAAATTCAGTCAGTTTCACATTTTTGTAAGCACCTAAAATGCGAGCATTTTGGAAATTTAAACCAACCTTTGTGAGGCATTGTGTATTTTTAGATACATGTTGTTCTCGGATAAGAGCAAGATGTTAATTCAATAAACAATATAAACTACTGAGAGTGGTCTTATAGGACCTTAATTTTATAAAGGTCATCTTAAATAATGAACTGACTTTTTGATTCGTCTTGGAAAGATCTGCAACAGGGCCCTATCTTTCCATGGTTACATTTAAAATCTTAACATAATTAATCTTTTTTACAGGTTCCATTTTTGTCCCCTCTGGAAGGGAACATTTACCTACGTCTTGCATGTCAGAGCCATTCTAACATTGAGCACAGAGGCTTTCTGGTAAGACAGGGTTAAAACCATGAGATGACTTCCATGAAGAGGAGGTAGCATCTAATACATAGTGAAGTCTATATCTTAGTGGCTTTTTGGGCTCAATATTCCAGTTTCCTGAGAATTATGGGACTCTTGCTCATCAAAGATGAGAACTGAAACTACAACCTCCTGACTAAAGATCCAATACCCCATACTTATCCCCCAGAATAGTGCTTTACAAAAAAGAAAAGTCAGGCTTTCCTTCCCTTTGCAATCTCTAAACCACATTTTAGAAAATGATCTGAAGACTAGGGACCAAGTCAGTTACTTCTTTCCATCCCAGTAAAACAAGCTGACAACCCTCATGCTTTCTCTGAGAGTGCTATTTGCAGCAGTAGTTTCAACCAGCTATTTCTGTGTTTCACCCAGACTATGTTTGAAGACATCAGTGGGTTTGGCGCCTGGCACCGCCGCTGGGTCTGTCTGGAACGTGGTAACCTGTCCTACTGGAACTACCCCAATGACGAGCGCAGCAAGGTATTTTCACATTCCCCCCCCCATTGGTGTGGACATAATCTCAGTAGACAACCTTTTGATCTTCAGTTGCGTTTAAACACGATGCATTCAGAGATCATTAGATAACTAGGAAATTATATTCTTATTGTAATAACTTTGACATTAGCACATGTACATCCCATGAAAAAAGGACTGAAACATGTTATGCAAGAATGTTCTTGATTCTAGAAACTCATTGTTAAGGACAAAGTAAATAGGTGCAAACTTGTCAGCGGTTCATACTACTGTTCATCATGCTTGAATTCTCATTTACTACTAATATGTACAGTACATGAAGGCTACTCAATTCATGACAAACAGGTATAACTGGTCAATAATTAAGCAGGCAATTGAATTTGGGCACAACTTGATATACATGTGCTTGAAATGATAATATAAAGCATTTGTTTTAAAAATAAGGGGTGGCATGGTGTTACAGTGGTTACTATTGCTGCTGCGCAGCTCTGGGTCCCTGTTCAATTCCGGACCCGGAATGCTATCTGCATGGAGTTTGTGTTCTTCCCATGTTCTCGTTGGTTTTGTCTGGGTCCTCTGGTTTCCTCCCACTGTCCAAAAGCATACTGGTAGGTTCATTGGCTTCTAGGAAAACTGGTGCTCGGTGTGAGTGTGTGCATGTTTGTCTGTGTCTTCCCTGTGATCGGCTGGCGTCCTGTCCAGGGTGTACCCTGTCTTGCGCCTCTTGCTTGCTGGGAAAGCCCTTCAGCTACCCTGCTGCCCTGAATTGGAAGAAGTGATTAGAAAATGGATGGATGTTTTAGAAATAGTCTTAATATGGTGGCACATTTTTAACATTTAGGTGGTTCATAATTATTAGCTTACAATATAAAAACAATTTATATGAAACACTGATGTACTGTGAATAAATACTTTCTGTGTGTTGAGGGTTTTTTACTTAAGAAAATACAAGGTCGTTTTGTGAGGTTCAGACTTTGATAAAATAGGTAGAATGTTTACCTCATGAATGTTGACAACATTATGAGGAAAACATCCTCATTGAGCATTGCAACTATTTTAGTACAATGTACTATCTTATTGTAGATATTTTGTTGATATGATGGCAGGTGAGTCTTTGGGGCAAAAATGTATATAGAACCTGGCTCAAAATTGTCTCTGTGACTTTGCAACTTTTTGTAAAATGGAATACTCATCTTTATATCATGTATGATCTTTCTCCTTGTATGAATTCAGCCAGCAGTTGGATGCATTAACCTGACCAACTGTACCAGCCAGTGTGTGAAGCCTGTGAACAGAGACTCCTGCGCACGCCCCAACACCTTTGAGCTGGTCAAGTTATCACAGCAGAAGGATGCGCGTGAGATTCTGTCCAAGTAAGATCTGTTTTTTAGTTTTGATAACTACTTTTAATGCTTGCCATACTCAGAAACTCCAGGCTGACTGTAGATGACATGCTCAAAGATGCATCAAGAACAAGCAACAAGAATAGTTCAAACTGGGTATGTTGTACAAGATTTGGAAATCTTTGCAGCCCACTTACATTCTCTTAGCAGAATCTGTTTTGTTTTATGGTCTTGCTATGCATTACTGAGTTGTAATTTCAACCATATGCACTGGTTTCCCAATAGGATTTATGGTTCCTGGTGATCTTGTGTTTTTAATACCAGCCATGTACTGCCTGTTGCTGAGAGACTTGATTAATCTGACCAGGGGGCTCCTAATATTTTGGGTAGCGAGTGTTTATAAGTGGACACTATCTGTGGCTTCAGGTGCTGGTTCTCAGCAGACACCAAGGAGGAACGTGAGGAGTGGATGGAGAAGCTGAACCAGGCACTGCTGGATCACAGGACCTGGAAGCCGGTGGTATCAGACCAACAGACCCGGCAGAGAGATGCTCCACAAGATATGTCGTTCACTAGTACCCATTCCAGGGAAAGTATCTTATAATCAGCTAACATCAAATGCCTGGTGTAATTGCTTTGAAGTTACACTACATTTGTAAATGTAAAACATTATATAACTATATATATTATTTAGCAGTAATTTGGGGTGAAGAATTATGAATATTAAATACCTTTGCAATATTCTTTAACTTGGACGTAACAAAACATGCCATGCAAAAGAAAATGATTTATGTTTTTAATTGCCTAGGATTGCTTCTTTCATGTACACTACTTAGTAGCTTTGTTTTGCAAAAAACATTTTGGAATTTGCACAATTTATTAATTTTACCTGGGACTGTGCATTTATAATATAGCACATGAAATCTGCTTAAACCAAAGATGGCTAAAGCACTAGGTCCTCTTTGCTCATGTGTGATACATTGTTATTTGTGATTAAGGAAAAATACAGATGTGGCAGAGTTAATGTAACCGCTGATGTAACGTTTAGGAGAATAGGCAGACCTGTCCAGGGATTTTAAAGAATATCTGAAAAAATAAATTAATAAACATTATGGGTGAGTAGATGGTTATATTTATAATTACAGAAAAAATCTAAAAATCCACAAGTAGTGCTTGAATTATTGCTTCACATAAGTAGTGCTTGAACTGCCATAATTCAGTGGTTCGTTTTCATTAGTCTTCATTTCTAAAGTTTTAGGTGTTGAATTCCTCCACAGCTCTCTATGGAGGGTTTTATCTCTTATGTGCTTGTAATCTGTAAAGTTATTACTGGACAATTGCATTTTACTGGACAGATGTATTTTACTTTCTTGTTAGCTTGTTTTGCAAAAGCCTTTCAGATCATCATTTTATTTTTTACTATACACCAGACCTATTGATCTGTTCCTTTGCTGGCACTTTTTGAATTGCCTAACTGCAATATAAAAAGAATGGTTAATGTCAGTGTCTTACAATGGAACCAGAATCCAGAAAATTCGAACCTATAATGTGGAGTAATGTTTTTGATAAATGTGTTCTTCTGCAATATAAATTCTGAAACTGCTATCTACTCTGCAATTCCTAAGAATTTGTTTAAATTAGTCAGTTATTGGATGACTCCTTGGTGCCATGTCAGGTATCGAACAACAGACCAAGCAGGGAACAACGAGATGTTGTTTGCTAGCACCCATTCCAGGAAGAGTATCATATAATCAGCCCACAACATGTGCCTGTAATTCAAGAGACAGGGCAAAGCCTCTATACGATGCCATGATGTTATGTGACAATGACAGTTTTTTCTGTCAGGCATTCGTTGAATAGGCTTAACTGAGAGGGATTTAAAATGTTTTATGTGAAGTGTAATATGTGCCATATTATACTGACTTGAATGGTTCACCTATAGCACTGCCATCATGAAGATGTTGGAATGCACTTTTACAGCCTGGGACTATTGCTTATCATTTGAAGTACAGTATAGTCTCTAGGAGCCATTTCTCTTTTCTGTACAAAGGTAGTGGAGTAGTGGTTCTCAGTTTTAGGGAAGACACTAATGGATACAAATTTACAGTATCTACCCCTTGGTTAAACAGTATGAAAGCTGCTCAGATCTAAGCTCCTAGGCTTTATACACTAAGCATTTCTGAAAGATGACCTGCAGAAGCTCTTTGCTTGTGAATTCTGTCTTGTTTTATGTATGTCTGTTGCATTCTTGTATAATCCCTGTATATTTAAAATCTATATACACAAAAATTAATAAAACTTGCTTGTTTTCAAAAGAACTACCTGTTTTTTTAGTCTTGCTCTTGGATTTAGTTAGCCATCAAGGTATGTTACTTCAGTGGCTGTTTACAACAGCTCCCAAACTGTGGAGGGCTTATTTTATGTAATGCATTTCAGTATAAAGTATAAATTCTGGATTTTTAATGTCAAGAACTATACACTGTGCACAGCTTACTGTGCTGTTTGTTCATAGTAGTCTTCAGTAATGCCATTTTTTTCTGATTTACACTGTGTTTTAGTATGGCAGACAAGCACTGTTACAAGCAGTGTTACTTGTTTTGTATTACTAAAACTAATTTCTATATACTGTATAGATCTGCTTTAATTGCTCTCTATTGGGGAAAACAAATTGTAAGTGTGCCAAATACAGAGAACAGTTTTGAATGCTAGAAGTCTGATTAGGTTAAATTTAGCTATGAAATGTGGAAAATGTAAAATTAAACTCCTTGCAATTATATTTAATCCTCATAGCCAACATTTACACACTACCCAACTACCATAAACATGAAGGTTAAGAAGGAGAGGAGCACGTTAAGGATTTTCAGTACTTCGATCGTGGAAAAAAAAATCACAAGGATTTTCTCATACGAAAACTACCTGATCTGATTAATGCGCCGAAATGAGATGTTGGTTGCTGTGTTCTGTTAAAGTGTTTCTTTAATATTATAAATTGTACATATCGCTTATCTGTTAATTGTATATAACTATCGTTGGGAACACGAATCGAGGTTGGTTTTCGGTTATTAATATAATTTGCCCATAAATCATTTTAAAGCAATCTTTAATTTTTTAATCCACCTAAATCGCAATTTTGAAGCGGACTTCACATCACTTTTAAGTTTTCTAAAAAACAATTCACAGATGGTGTACTTCTAGTTTGAGTGCTATTACGTACCTTATCTAGTATTTTTTAATCTTCGAAGCGCATGAGCACGGGCTTTATTTTGAGTCTTTTCCCTGCCATTCCGCCTTATTATGCGGTATATTAAATTACCGACTCTGCTTTTGATGCCAATCGCCAACGCAACGCGCTTACCTGTGTTTGGGTAATAATGATAAAAACGGAAATCGCTGACTTAGAAAAACCGGAAAGAAGTAAGTGCCTTCTGAAGCGACTGGAGCGGATGCACCAACAGGTCCCGCAGTCGTCCAGGCAGTGCAGAGCTGACCTGTGCAGGTGTGTAATTCGAAACTCGTCAGGTGTGGCGCAGGAAAGCGTAACTCGCTCCGTGAAAACCTGCCGACTGGTCTATCACGAGTCCCTGCCTCCACCTTGGCCTCTCGCTACTGATGGGAAGATTTGAGAAAACGCCGCACTGAGCTGGTATCGAGTCTGATACGCGTAGCTCTATTCCTTCTGCGGACTGGATTACTAATGACTATTTCAGTCTTGGTACTTCTCTTAAACCCCTAAGAAGACTCACGCTTTGATCCGGTGAGTGGCATCCAGACGGATTCTGGCAAACATTATTTTTCAGTTGCTGCCTTTTTCCCTCTTCAGCTATTTAATAAAAAAATCGTCTCTACAGCCTAAGTGAGAGGGAAAACGGGTGAAGCTAATGATGCTGATCTTTGAAGTGCTTTTCGTTTTACTAAAAACGTGTAATTTGTAATAACTTTAATTGTTACTGTTGTATCCAGCTCCTATAATACACACGTTGGTGAAAACTTCGCTTCATTCAAGGATTTGGGTTCGATAGCATCCCGAGAGGTGAATGATTCTATTGGTTTTTTTTTAAAGACTAGTTATTTAAAATCCCGTTTTTCTGCTTTCTCTAATTATTGGGCGCTCAGCGGCATCTGGCTAATCTCGGGATGTTTCGAGTGTACACACGCTGGCCACCTGACAGGCAAACACTTCACAGTTTGTCTGAGGCTACGCTGTTGACATTGGAGCAAGTCCAGATTGGGATTTATTGCCGACTGTTATATATCTTGGGTACGCACACTGTATTTCCGTGCCCCGAGTAATGTATACTTTATTGATTAGGCGGAACTACTCACCAAGAAGCAAATTGAAGCAATCTAGCAGGCAACCTGTGAGTTTCCTATGCCCTTTTCTTTAGAAACTGCAACTTTACTCCTGCACAGTACCCTTTTTGTCAGGTGTTATACATTTTTCTCACTCCTTCTCTTGTGTTAAGTAGCAGGGCAGGCTGGAAGGTGTTCCCCCATTTTTAAATTTCTTTTTCTTCAGTCTCTGATCTGATCTAGCAAAAAAAAAAATGCCCTGGCAGCAGCCAAGGATGTCATGGGCCAAATCGAAAGCAGTGAGAATTGTACTGCCTTGTCACAGAAGATGGTACTGTACACCAGCAGAGGTCAACAGGTCAGCAGCCAGCACTTGAAGGGCTATGCTGATTTTCACTGAGAATTCTGCAAACATCACCTGAGCATAAATCAGGCCAGGTCAAGCTCTAACAAAAACTTAATCTTATTATTGGTTTATAGGTGTTGCTGTCTCTGCAATTTGTATGTCTTGTGAGCACCAGTACTTTGTTTCATAGGTGAGGTAAATGTGGCATTTTCACATTTGTTCCCATTGAGCCCTGATTTGCGTATCTTGAACCTGGCATTACAGAAACTATCCATGAAGAGTTATAATCTCACAGAGTTGCAAAGTATAGTGAAATACCATTGCCAAATATTGTATAAAACGCGGGATTTAAAAACAAAATTCATAAAATGTATCATTTGTTTCGATCTTTTGGTTGTCCCCTGCTTATTGTGATCGTATGAGAGATTATAGTGTTCAGTGTACTGGTACTGAAGAGTATCAATCGGCCAAGGTGTCACCAGTGAGAAACCCCACGCTGTCTTTAACTGACAGTATCTCTTTATCTGCTTCACAAGCTGTTTTATCCAGGGTGACTTACAGTATAGTAGAGTTTAATTTAAATAATAATCATGCAGGCATTACAATGGAAAACTAAATCAGTTGAATAAAGAGACAACAAACCTAACATACTGGAAGAAGAGCTGTTGAAGGGGCAGGCAAAATAAAATAGCAGAACCTCCTCAACCTTTACTGTCTGCAGGTCTCTGTTCAAGTTAATAGACGAATTTGTGAAGAAAACCAACATAAATATGATTATGTAGCAGGCATTAAATGTCCAGTAGCAGTGCTGACTGATATGCTGTACGTCCTGCATATTGCATTCCAAAGCTCCAAAAAGGTTTTCTTTTCTTTGTAGATGAATTGTGCATCTTGTAACCATGATAAATGATCTAAGGAATCAAGAGCAGTTTGCAAAAACTGATGATTAAGAGTAGGTTTGTGGCTTTTTTAAGGTATGAAAGTGTATAGATTAGAGCCCAAGAAGTAGTCCATTAAATTAGCATGACCAATAATTGCTGCCACATATAAACAATTAGGCATATGAACAATAAGAAAATTGATACTGTTCCTCAGTGATTTAAAGTTGTTTCTTAAAAATTTAAAAGATCGTAGTGTATCTCAGCAGCGATACAGTGTTAATGCAGGTGCAAATAAAACTAGTTTTAGGTGGAATGGATATGAGAGACTATTTTTCTTTCTCAGTGGTGTTCACTGCAGCATGTTTTCAAGAAGGGGATGTGTTGCCAAGCAGCACACACAACAGAAAGTCAATCTTCTGGCTGCAAACAGGATTTCTTCCTCAATCAGCACCAGGGCTTAATGGCGGCTCCTTTAAGAAACTCAGCTTTCTTAAGAGTCAAAATGAAATGACTCACAACTAGTTTTGGGTTAGTATGGGTGGCCAATCTATATACTATACTCCAGAAATATTTATCTTGCCAAAAAAAGATGCTTGCCTTGTGTAGCCTTGGTAAGCTCAGCAGAGCTTAACCCTGGACTACTTCACCTGTACTGTAAACAAAGTAACATCCTGTTTTGTGAGAAAAAGTGAGCCAGAAAAGTGAGATTACACTTTTGACACAGTGGAAATGAACAGATCATTCACAATGGCTCCACAATAACCAGAAGGATAGCTAGAATTTAGAAACAACACGCTCCATGTCTTCAGGAATTTGATACAGTAAAACGAGTTCTATTGTAGATAACATAGTCTAAATGTAGATAATACAATAGCCTTAAAATGAAATTACAATACCCTTTGTGTTCTATTAAGGTGTTGTGTTTCGTGGGAGGTGAAATCCAGACACTGTTATGGCGTTTAAAGAAAGTTTATTAAACACTTACTGAACATACTGCATACTGGGACACCATGCAGTCCTCCAACTTTTCTTTTCTAATAACATATAACTGCATGGTCACTATGTAAAAAGCTGCTCTACATATGGTGGCTCATTGAGTAAAAACAAGTGTTCCCCAACGTCCCTCTTTAGCTACCAAAAAGAATTACAAATATCTATAAACTATCCAGTATGACTTATTTTAAGCAAAGTGGTGTATACATTTTTCCAGGTAATATCTTGTGTTACTTAGATTAAGTTAAAAAAAGTTCTAAGTACAGATTTAACACACTTTCTAACATTCCACCTAAACTCTGAGAAGTGCATCCAGACCACTGTAAGGAGCTTGTGAATGTATCCCTGCTGTCTGGGAAGTGTTTTCATAGGTTGTTGGCTCATGCTGTTCTTCCTCTGCAGTTCACATGGCAGGGCTTTCTAGAACATCAGGTTGATTAGGAAGAAACTCAGCGTACTGTGTATCAGGTTCTGGAACTTTCCGAATGTGGCATCAGATTTTCCCCTCTTCCCCTCCTTCTGATTCAATGAAGTATAATTGTGGTTTACTGTAGACTGTGATGAGTTTCCAGGAACTCATGTCCACGTAGAGTCTGCAATCTAACAACTTGGTTCGTCTTCTGGTGGTTGTAGGGGACACTTCCTCTGTCATACTATGATTGTTTTTACTTGTCTTTTATTAACTAGCTGTGCTGTCTGCGTTCTAGTGGGTCTATACTGTACATATTCTGGTTTCTTAATTACCATGTTGTGTTGTGTGGGTGGTAGAGACCAGACACTTTTACAGCTTTTAATGAAATTTTATTAAACGTGTACTGATACAGTCTGTATAACGTATGCACTCCTTTTTTTTTTAACTGACACTATCTACCTGTGTGCTAACTATGGGTGATCTGAGTACATTGGCTCATTAAGTACAATATTAACAACTGAAAACCATATGCCGCTGTTTTGTCTGGGACTTCCAAGGGCCTGTGTTGTTGATTTTCTGTACTCCTGCACTGACGTGACCTCGAGTGGCACTCACTCTGCTCTCTCCACGCCCTCTGCCCCCTTAGGCTGCGCCATGGTCAACCCGGCAGTCTACGCAAACAGGAAGAGAAGCCGTCCGATTCCCAAGCTGTGAGTAAGCCATTGGTTAAGCACAGTCAGCACTGGTGTTTCCTGTTTTATTGTAGTACCGCTCTGTAGAAAAAAGAAACGGCTGTGATGCAGGTGGGTTTGCTATGTGCCACAACGCCAAGTATTACAAGGAAGAGGCACAGCCACAGCAGTTTAAAAGCATCTTGTCCCTTGCCTCTGTGCAGCTGCTCATGAAGAAGGCTGGATATTCTTACAATAGGGGAAAAGATGTTTTGAAGGGCAGGAGTAGGATGGTTGATACAAGAAATAATTTACAGGCCAGTTTACAAGAAACAACATGAATGAATAGACTAGGCAATGTTTGGGTAATTTGAAGAACTTCAGACAGACGTCCTCCACATTGGGTGGGACCAGGCCATGAGTATCGGGAAGGAACGTCCACATTCTGTTCATTCTCCTTATGCACCCCCAGCACATTTTTCAGTGCAGCTTCCTTACATTTTGCTCAGCAAAGGCAATAATGAATAATGTGCTAGTCAAGCCTTTTTTTAAATTATAGATAGATATGTTTTAGCCACCTCTATGGTCATATTAATGTTATTGTTCGGTTAATTTGCAATGTGCTCAACCATTTAAATCGGTCACACTGCACTGCCTCTCCCTCTGCTCTGATTGGAAGGGATCTGGAGCAGCTTCTCAGTGTCCCCCAGTCGCTGGGCTCTGTGGCGAAGCAATGATATCCAAACTGTGGGAAGCCCCGAATCAAAATGTAGCTACAGATGGGGCCTGTCTCTCAGCTTAACAAGCAGGTGCCCTTACCTACAGTATAAAAACAGCAAAACTAGCCTTGTGATTAAACGTAGGTATTGCCCCCTTTTCTGGTGAGGAGTGATCTGTTTACTGCAAGGATGTAAATAACACATCTAAGTTTCACATGTACATCTTCCAGTACCACAAGAATAACATATTTAAAAACAAATCAACATGAATGCTCACCAGCTGTTTACAAAACCCATTTCAATCCCTTTGACTTAAATATCAAAAGGGAATTGTAACCATCCATTCTATTCACCAAACCCAAGCAATATGAGCACGTGGTGAGCCTGTCAGAAAGAAACAGACTGTTCAGTGTTGAGTAACAGGCACAAGACTGAGTCGTCCCACGCTCAGATGTGCGACACTGTGCCAGGAAACTGCCTGCAGCCTGGCCTCGAGGTAGGAAGCAGTCACACCACCTGTTACCTGTTCAAAGTTACCTGTTGAAACAATAGACGTTTCTCCTTGTATTAAATCCTTTAACCCTGACAATGCCAGTGGACAGCTTTTTACATGAGAATGAAAGAAGAAAGAGTCCTCTGGTATTACTAAAATCTAAGTATGACTCATACTGTAGCGGCAAAACACTGAAGCAAATTTTAGTTGATTGCAGTCAAATGAGAAACAAATTCTTGTTCAGTTTAATGTTGATTTATCAAATATTCTGAAAACTGATAAAAACAGTAGAGTACTTAGAGAAATGAGGTTCTCATATGCTAGTGTCCCCTTGAGTTTCTTATTATTCAAAGGTTGCAGCTATGGCCAAATGTTTTACATCCTGCATTGCTTGTTTGGCTAATTCCAAACTCACACCTGTTCTTAATGGGTTCTCTCAGACCAGCCTCTGCGGTACTGCTAGGGAGGCTGTTCTAGGCCCACGATTCCCTGTTCTTGGTCAATTGTATCCCTGTAACTATCTTTGTATCTTTGTTAATTATCAAGAAATCCCCTGGATTGACTCCAGCAGTGTCTTTCAGGATTTTCAGTACCTTCAGGTCTCCTCTTGATCTTCCTTTTTTGTTTAACTTTTTTATTATACAAATCTTTCTATGTTATGATTAGCTGCCTAGCTTTGACAAAGATACGTCTGTGGAAAAAAGTCATGAGCAGAACGCAGTGGGCACAGACACATCTGTAGCTTGGAGCTGTGCTTTGGACATTAGGAAAGCTGAATGGAGATGGCTGATCTATGCTATAGGGGGCATAGAAATGGAATTGGAACATTTCCATTTTTCGGAGGTACACATTATAAAAAAGCCAATACTGTGTGTTTTGTTCTGCATTTCCTGCTCTGGTGGCTTTTGTCTGATGGCTTTTTTTTTACCTTTTCAGGAAGCCAGGCTCTCCCAAGACAGCGAAGACCAATGCCTCCAAGAGGCACCGGGACAAGCTGAATGTGGAGCTGGACAGGGTGGCGGCTCTTCTGCCTCTCCCTGAGCATGTGTCCTCCAAGCTGGACAAGCTGTCCGTCATGAGGCTAACTGTCGGCTACCTCCGAGCCAAGTCCCTCCTCAGCAGTAAGGAACTCACAGCTCATGTATTCCTAAAGGTCTAATGACACTGACCGTGGCACTGTGCAACGTGGTTATGGATGCATGTCTTTAGATATCAGGTCGGGAAGTGCTCATAGCAGCCCCTGTTACAAGCATTTCTTTGGTATTTCTGTATAGATTAAGCATTTCTGCTCTATAATTTTCCTTGTAAATTGTAAATTTGTAATTTATCAGTTTTTAAAAGACATTTGTTTTTCAAGTTTGCCTCCGGTAAAGACGTAAAATGTTAATACCTACTATACACTACATGTTATTTTTCTGATGTGATGATTTTGCAAGGCGTTTAGCTCCGTGCTGTATTATTCAAATGCATCTGGCTAATGGGGTGAAATCAGTCAGTCTGGTTTGCAAACCTAATGTGTGCTTTTTGGGAGCTCCCAGAAACAATCCTGCACAAACACAGTGAAAACATTCAAACTCCACAGATAAGCAGTAGTGCTGGCCACTATGCCACTTAATGAAATAACCTTTAGTAAGAATCTGATTAAGACTGAAATGCTGATGTTAACATTGGAATAGCAGTAAATTAGTAAAATGTACGTTTCTTTACGAAACCAGGTAGATTTTAAACTAGATTAACAGATTGAATGAAAGTTCAATCAATAGACCAAAAAGTAGCTCATCGGATGCCTGATGAGTGGTGTCAAGTGAAATATTTACACAGAATAATAAAACATTCTTACTGTAAACAATAACATATAGTTTGTGTGATGTAATAGATACAAATATTATGTAAGGAGAATTATCCTTAACATGGTGCATTTACCTAAAGAAGAAAATATGCCCAAATTCATGATTAATACAGTTTGGCAGTTTGGGAGTTTTTCTTCAGTTAGGCATTCTGAATATAAGATACCAACTTAAACATTACATGTCAAACCTAAGTGTTGAATTGTAAGTTTAAAATCTATCTTACATTTTCACTGTTATTGTGTCTTCTTCTGTATAGGTTTTTGATGAGTGAAGCTGTTTGCTGTTAGTGTTGTTTTTGGTAGAATTTAGAATATAGCTGCAGTCTACAAGATGAGTCCTTCAGATCTTTGTGTCTCAACGATCCTGAGGAGCACAGATATCTCTTTTGTTCCACTTTTGGTTCCTCAGTTACAATACAAGTGGCAGCTGTACATGTCTTGCATACAAACCTACAAAAGTCCTGCAGACATTGTAGACACACAGCTGTATTGTGGCTTGCCAATGGTACTGCTTTAGTGAGGCTACTAAAAGAAATATTTAGAAACAAGAAGGATCTCTAACATGTATAAAAGGATCGTGCTTAAATCTACTGGTTCCACTGACAACACAGGTATGTAGTGAATCATTTAATCTGAGTCATAATGTCAGTTTCGGTACTGAGTCAGCAATTATTTTTGTAGTCAAATGCTTTTGTCCTGCTGGCCCTGTTAAATATTGCATTTTAATTATTTCTGTTGCTTGACACGGAATGGTTTATTGAATTCCTTCCTAACCCTCAGTTTGTATTCTACATTGTACTCTTGGTCTGCAATTTACAGCTGTATGATTGTATTTTACTGTATTGAATCTATTTGCTACGACTGCACCTTGTTACAGTTTCAAGTTAAAGACTGAACTTGTAGCAGACTCTTTGCAAAAATGGGTTACTTTTTTTAAAGTCAAAAACACAGGAAAAACTGGTTAGGATATAGAGTGATTTAGCAAACAAAATATACATGACTTTGTTATAAAGGTGCATTAAGGGAAATTGTGTGTTTTCAGGTGTAATTGACTAAATACAAGACTGGTGATAGATGAAACAAGTCTCTAGGGGCAGAGTGGAATGCTGGCCTACTGAGGTTTTCCACCACTCAATAATGAGCTCAACTTGGACTGTTTTTCTTCTGTTGACAGTAAACAGTGTGCAAGAGCAGTTAAGCCCAACAGGATGAGCCACGTGACTGTAGTCAGCATTGGTATTCCAGTTATTTTAAACGCTACCTATTACCGGTTTTGTGAGATACCAGCAGTTTGTCTTCCATGTGTTGAAGTTTTTATTTGCTTTTAACGTCCTCTGATCAAAGAAAGTCGGGAACAGAGAATGAGTCTTAAATGCATTTGATAGCAGGGGGCACTCTGTGCTTTCACTTTTTTCTTGTCAGTTTATTTTGGACCCAGTTAATGCAAAAGCTGTGGAAAAAACTTTGACCTCAAAGCCATCAGTGGCTCTATCTTCGTGAGCTGGAGTTGTGTGGAGAGCTCGGGGTTCAGCTCTCTCTGTGCACTGGGAGAGAAATGGAGGTTTGTCCAATGGTGAAGCAGTATGAAAGCTTTATTCTTATTTATGTTTCATGTGGGACAGCATGGTGTCACAGTGGTTTAGCATTGCTGCCCTGCCATGCTGGGGGCCTGGGTTCAATTCTGAACTTGGGATGCTATTGACATGAAGTTTGTAGGTTCTCACCTTGTTTGTAAGAAAGCTCTCAAAACCTGGAGATCTCTTGCACAGTTTGAATCTGACAGGATCATAATTATACATTAGAAGCATGTTAATGAATATTGTAGTCTTTTAGTTCTGCCCTAGGAGGTATCCCTTTTAAAAGAGGTCATCATTTTTCTTAATCCATCATCATATTTAGATTTCACCATGAGCAAAATAGTTATGCAAAGAACAAAGTTTGGTAGCATTTGATCCCACATAATAGGATTCCCACCTGTAATCCATTAGAGACTTTCCACTGGGGAATTTCCAGGCATTTTTTAAACATAATAGAAAAGCAGCATATTTTAGCTTTAAATACCGTTTCATTATACTTTTTCAGGATTTGTATTTTTGTTGTTTTACAAATCTTTAAACAAGACATCTATGAAAGGATGAGGCACACATTAAAAGAGGGCAAAGACCTCTGTATAGGCTGCCTGCATCCTAATTAGGGCATGTTTAGACCTGTTCTGTCTATTGCAATATGTGTTCGTTGTGAACCTCTGATCTGTCAACACCTTATACAGTAACTGTTTTTTCCATCAGTTGGCTGGCACGTATTCCACTCACTTAAGGCAAGGAGTTTGGTAATTAGTTGTTCAAAGTTTTAGATATTTAAAAAGAAATCAATGAATTTTTAAAAAATCTGATATTTTTCGGTTTTCAGATACCATTTCAGCTCACTGCAAAGATGTTATTTCAGAATCTCTTGCGTAACTCTCTTAAGATATTCCCATTTTAAGGAATGACAAACAGTTGTGGACTTACTAGTTTTGGAATGCCCAAAACTACGACTACTACGGATAATAATAGTATAATAATGAAGAAGAAGATCCTTTAGCTTCTCTAAGAACAAGTAAAAGTCTCACCATAAATATAAGTAAGGTTTGCAAAGTAAGATTAGTATGCAGTACTCTCAAGTCTGGAGATTAGCACAGTGATCATTGGTCACTGTGTAAGGAAATCCACAAACACTTGCCCAGAGTAAGGTGCTTTAAACAACTGTTGTGATAGCGTTGACACATTTTGCAGTGTGTATTTATCCCAGCGGCCTTGCTTTGCTTCTGAGAGGGGAGAATTCCTGTTGTAGCGCCTGAAAGCCTGTGGCACCGCAAGGCAGATTGATCCCATCACGCCACTTCTCCCGGCCTCTTCCTCCTGCGCTCCCTACAGCTCCATGTGGCGGTCTGGGCTGAGAGGAGAGGCTGCTTTCCGTGCAAGCTGGCTTTAGATCTCAATCAGCAGCCTGCTGTCTGTCTTCTCAGCCCCAGACACGGCAGTGCTGTCTGCACGCAAGTCTTCACCTTTGTACACTAAAACCCCTCTGGCCTGATTCTGACAGAATGACTGTTACCTGATTTTGTCATTAAACTGAAACTACCAAGTCAACTTGAAAATTGAGCTTCATTCCTTCTGATTTCAAGTGCATGAATTTCCGAAAGCTGCAATATAGGAAGAGAAAAAATCATTGCACATTTCTTAATCATGCACTTTCTTGTGTATGTTACATTAATACCTGTAAACATTTACTGGTATACCATTTATTAATCTGAAGGAAAAGAGATCAGACCACAAACCTGATGTATTTGCACTCGTTAGCTGGCCGGCTTTGCTATGGTGTACAGAATTAAATATCAGTTTTTACACCCAGCAATGTGCAGTTTGGGTGTGGGGACTGCAAAGTGGAGAAGATGACTCTCTGACGGCTGCCGAAACTGTATAAAGAAACTCCCAGTGGGACATAGCTTTGAGTTCTTGGTACTGGATGCAACAGTACCACAACACGCCAAAACAACAGGGTGTTACAGAACAAGGAACAAAGTGTGGGATAATACCCTTTTAATGAAGAGGTGAACAGCTTTACATTAACATCACAGTGATATATTCCATATTGCTGCTAACCCTCGGGGGTTAATAATTTGTTTTCCTATCATTCAGAAATGTGAGATATTGAAACAATTGATAAAAAGGAAAATACTCTGTGCTCGGTCAGATACCCCTTGCACATTTTCAGAGAAAGACAGATTTACTCTTGTACTGTAAAAGCATAACACAAACGAGGACTGTGTCCAAACTGAAGGGGAACTATATGAGGCTGCCTGGTTGATTCCCTCTGCTTACAGCTTCCTGGTGTTGGGGGATGCCCTTTTAGTTTATTAGTGCCGTTTCTTCAGTAGTGCCCGAGAGGAAAAAGCTGAAACTTACTTAAGGGTGATACGACGTGCCAGGCCCAGGCCTCCAGGGAAAAATGTTGCCTTGCATGCTCTGGCAGTTGGGGCTCAACCATGCGATCCTTTGATGTGTGTGATGTGATCCTGTTGATTGATGAGGCGTAAACGAATTTATCTTTGCTTCCCCTTCTTTTGCTAGCCCTTCAGATTGTCCATGCTCTTGTTCACTGTGTCAGAAACAGAGTAACCGGGCACCTCCTGGCAATATTTCCCATTTCAAAACTTTCACATTCCGATTCTTGTTTGAAAGTACAAATAGCTGTGCTAAACTGAACTGCAATCAAAACACTATATACTGT